GAGAAATAATATGTTGAATAAATTGTGGTAGTAAATTGTAGTTAATCGACTATTAATCCGTTGAGTAGAATGAGAAGACTTCGCCTAAGGATAGGCTTTATTCAACATATAAGCACAGTATAGGCTGAAGTGACAAGTGAAAGTGAATTAATGGAAATAGCAGTAAAGCGTAACTTTCACTACAAGGCAGTTTGTGGACAAGCGGTTTTTATAGCTGCGTCAGAATGTTGTATGACTTTCTTCGCAGCCAGTGGACCCGGCGTGGATGTCATGATGTACTCGTTCAGCGAAGAAAGTTCCTTGTCAACCTTCTTCCAAGTCGCTGCATTCTTAGCGCCTGAGTCCTCCAGTGCCTTTGAAAGACGCTTCAGTTTCGCGTCGAGTATCCCGATCAAAGCGGAACACTCACATCAGCCTTTCTGAATCTGCAGAGGGGACTGAATACCGTTTTTTTGGGTTCTCCTCTTGGCCGCGGTATGCATTGCACCCTTAACGTAGAGGCAGCTGGCGCAGACAAACGGGTCAGGAGAGTTAGCTAGTCGGCTTATCTGGTCATCCTATAAACCCGTGCATTTGAAATGCCACCAGGCCTTGCAGGTGTGGCATTGCATACCGCGTTTGACGTTTGACGGGCAACCACTTCGTCCACATCTGCTGTGGTCCATCAATGGCTGCAGCGGGCAATCGGTGTAAATTGATGTCATGTTTGAGATTAGATGTAAAATAGGAAGTGTGCGCAAAATATCAAGGGTTATCTCTCAACTGTTTTGTTAGAGTAATAAAATTCAACAATGACTCGTGTGTACTCTGTGAATAGATTGAACAACGGCAAAATTCTTTCACAAATTTGCACGACGGAAAAACGAAACCGATTTCGAACGTACCGCGCAGCGTGCAGGTGGGGTGGGTCTCCGACGGAGCGGCTGAAGGATTTTCAGAAATTGTGCGCCGGTTTGTGTGGCCGATGCACCTTTCTAAGCTAACTTATGTCTCATAGAGCATTTTGCCGCGTCGACAAAGAATGTGTCTTGGATTGCACGCGGAAGGAGTGCTCTGTTGCCTCATGATGCCGGTTTAACTCTTCCTCCATTCTTGTGTCGCGGTGACCTTACTCCCTTTTCTGTGCATAGATAGTGTCACGTGGTGTTCGAAGCTTCCTTCATAGCAGTGACTCTGCTGGTGAAATTCCATCAGGCGAGACGGGGTTTCGCATCGCTCGTTATGCCAGCAGGACTAGAATCCTGCAAAGATCTTTTCAAAATCTATTTCGTTGGTCCTTGCACTCTGGACTTACAAAGTACACCATCCAGAGTGTCAAGGAAGCTTTTCACCTGGCCGTTCGAGTGTAGATGAAACGGTGGCGAGTAGATATGAGTTGTGACTTCTCCTGTCAAAACTCTGCGAACGCCAACGACGTGAATTACATTTGTCGGGTACACTAGTATCTGGTATTCCAAAGCGGTTAAAAATTACCGGAGTTCCACCACTTTAGCGGCAACTGTGGAGATGTTCATCCTCCAAGACCGTAAGTGATTCCACGTTCATCGTCCAGGGTTCTACGTCACCTGTGGGCTCCAGACTGGTGCCAGCTGGTGTCAGTAACAATTGTTGTTCGAAGTATTCGGCCCACCCGTCGAGGTGTTCTTGTTTATTCGAGGCAGTCACTCCCTTCTGATCCTTCATGGTTTCGCTCACAGGTGGTTTCCGGTCGCACGGATCAACTGAGTTAATCTTCGGGCATTACCGGCTTTCTGGGCCTCTTACATTTCCTTGGCTCTCTGTGTCCACCACAATTCACGGTCGACTTGCACGCTCACCTTCATTTGATGTCTGATGATTTGTCGCATCAGGCCGGCTGGGGTATTCTAGATTCAATCAGTGCAACCGTTCGGTTTGATATCCAGTGCTTGAGTGCGCCTGGTGGTGCCGTACAACAGGCAAATTCCCAGCACTGCAAATAGATAGCAATTTTGTCCCAGTATGAGTTCATATCTGATGGTGGAGCATTTGGAATAGACCCTGGAAGATGATTCTGTTAAGCTCGTCTAACATCCGGATCTGCCATTCTTACCGTTGCCAATCGGTTTGTCCGCACTTTACGCAGTCCTGGAAAACGTAGGGAGAAGCGACTCCGGACGAGTGTGTGGTCGGAATCCACCAAAGTGTTCCAAAATGACTGCAGTCATTGATCCGCGCCATCGGTAACTGATGACAATGTGGTCGGTTTAAGTTTGTCTCCTAGTCCTCCAGGTTGGTAGTTGGAACATGTGTGTCGACTTGCTCACTAATGTTGGCTGTTGTGATGGCTTACTTCAACCACTGCTGCGGTTAGGCTGTTGAGCCAAGGATCCGGGTCTAGGACCCTAATCCGCCTCTTTTCTGGGTCTTGATATCATCGCAGCCCATGCACAACCATGAACTGCAAGTCTCATGCTACATCGACGGTCGCGTGTTGCCGAAGTCTCGATGGTGTCGCTTGCTACCAGGAAGTTTATATTTTAGCCTTTCTCTGTCAGGAGCAATTCTAATATCCCTTTCCTACCGGGAACTAAATGCATTTTATGCCATGTTTGCGAAACTTTCTACGAAATCGCCTTACCTTAATAACTCTGCCTTCTTTTTAGTTGGGGACACAGATAGTAAAGACAGTCTTCGTGCAACCTTCGGGTGGCATGGCAGCTAGGCACCGAAAGGGTGCTACTACAGCTGAACGATTTTTCGCTTTCCAGGCTTTGGGAAGGAACTATCTTTTTTTGCGTCAGGAACACTTGTTTTTTCGTGCCAATCGGAGAACCTGATGTACATTACACTTGGGCTTCCTTTCTCCCATTTAAAATTGAGTATGATTGGTCCCCGGAGCTTCATTTGTATTTCACAAATTGTGGTTAGGATCCGCAGGTCCTTTTGTGACGTTGTGTACGTATCCTCCAATTGACTTCTCATTCCTCGAGGACCACTGTGAATCCGTTGTATTTCTTATGTCTATGTTTTATTTTTACCATGTTTTTACCGTGTTTTGTCTTACCATATCTTAGAAGTACAACAACTCTCTAACAAGCAACGCCTTTTAAGAATTCATGTTTCACTGCTTTTGGGGAGGGTTGTTGAGCGCGACAAATTTCACTCAGGTAAATTTTTCGATGAGGTTTTCCGTTGGCTGGTTAAACGGTTTGATCGTACTTGGTAGGTTGCCAAAAATTCCTTTCCTTATGAGTTTGTCTCAGAAAAACGGGCTACATAGTCTTCCGAAGTATCACCCGACACAGACAAGTGAAGTGTTTTCCATGGAGGGAAACCACTTCTGAATTACACCCGAAGACGGTCTCCGCACTAGACATTTTATTTAAGACCATCAGAGGCGAGTTTCATTCCATTCGCGCCAGTCAGTGAGGTCGGCGCCAGTAAATCGATAACTTGTGAACTCTTCTTCGGAGCCGAACTTCTCACCACGTATTTTAAGATCTCACGTTGAGTGGCGCACAAGAAATGGAGATCGAAGTCGCCTTAGAATAAAATCTTCCCTATAAGTACCGCACTAGTGATAAAGCATGAAGTCTTGCTCGCAGCTAGAAGCACCTCGATCTTGACAGTTTTCCCGTATGCAAAATCTGTTTTTTTTCGCCTTATTAGTCAATTGGTAAGCGATAGTCTCGTGGAATTATTAGCTTCTGGCGTACCGCTATGGGTGGTGTTGAAGATTGGTCGATCCACACTGCATTCAACGTCTTAGGGCTTGAAGGACTATGACACCGCAGCTATGCTCCATTCGACTGTTCTTACTTCAACGCTTGCCCTCCAACAACACGTTTCTTGTGTTTTCCTTGCAGTTCAATGTGTATCCATGTCCTCAAGTTCCATTCCTAAGGATGAGTATCTAAAGCGCTATTTGGAACCGAAGAAGGGAAAACACCGGAGGTACAATGACGTCACGGTGAAGTATATTTCGTAAGTACCGTTTGTGCGCTTTGTCATTGTGAATAAATATGCCCAATGAGTACAGCCCAATTGTTCCACAAAGTTCTGTTTATTGGCTGTAAACCATGCGCCAAGGTATTCGTTCTGGTCGCAGCAGTTTCGGTCAACAAAAAGTGGGAGAACGGGGATGATATATTCATGCGTTGGAGGCAGTAGCATAGTCAACCCCTTCATACTGAATCACCTCAGTTATCTGAATGAACGGGAAACTAGCCAGCTAAAGGCGGTAGCTTTGCTGCTTGACTGAACCATGTCTGCCATCGTCACTAGGTGCCTATCAGTTCAGTGCGCAGGTCATCGTCATCATCGACGGAATGACATCAGTGTTCAACACCGATGCTTCGGTGCCATGCGGAGGTACATATCTTGGGGGGTGGTAGTTGTTCACCCGACTGAGTTTGCTTAGTGCTTCCACAGTTTGTTACCAGGTTCACACTAGGTTGTGCACCCCCCAATCGCTTCCAGTCAAACGGAGGCTGGATTTAAAGATCTCTGAAGCGTAGGTGGTCCTCTAGTATAAGAAATACATCCTAAACAATATAAACTACGGAGCATAGGTAACCCATTCATCACAAGAGGTTTCATTTTTTCCCAAAACGATCTGACCTACCTCAGAATTGCAAACCCGGTGTTTCTACCACACTTGATTAGTGCTTCAGGGAAACCGATGAGTAAACACGGAGAAGTTTCCTACATCGCGCCATGTTTCTGATCTATAAAGCAGTACGGACCACCCCGCCGCGTTGTATACTCTGTCCTTGACAGACGAACTAACTTCACGTCGGTGTGGTAGATGTTGGAGGTTGTTGTAAAAACTGGACTGGTCACCCTGATTCGAGAAGTAATCTTGTGTCCAGCCGTTTCACCGCACTTTTGTTCAGGTAGATAAGTTCGTTTACGACTTCGATTGGCTGGTCTGCAAACACGATGTTTTTGTTTAGCCTTATGCGGTATTTCAGTAACACTGCACTTTGCAAGTGTGAAACGCATACTGAGGCTCCTAACAGACTTATTTGCGATTTAAAATCACTTACATCCTTTAGGGATCTGAACCAAGGAGAGCAATATCACCCGAGTACTGTATGTCTGGGAGCGAATGAACCTGGAGTATTTTTGTTCCCGAGTTTCCAGAAGCAGGTGAAAAGTTTCATACAGTATGTGATTAACAAATTTGAAGAGGAATGGTGAGAGGCTATGTTTGTCCCAAACCACCTAACCTTGTGAACTCTGGCATCACCTCATTGTATGCACCCACTTGGATTGTCATACAGTTTCCAGTTAAGATATAAAAATGCAGGACACGTTTGATCTCCAGGCACCGCCATATGTTTTAGCATTCCAATGAGTCGAAAGTAACCTTCAGATAAAGAAGAGTGATCACCTTGGAGCGTTTGGTAGAGTGGTGATGCTCAATAACTTGGACAGCCCAATAACTCTTCACAGCACTGGTTATCGGGACTTCTCCATCGCCCCTTCACGTTGGCTCCCGGCTGGATGTTGTCTATATAGCATACGTTCCGCCCTCCAGTAGCCTTGTAAACTTGAATTTTCCTCGTTCGAACCATTAGCGCGAAAGGTCAGCGCTCCATTCTTCCATTCTGACTGATCACCTAATCACAGCTCCGAACGGTAGCTCGTGCGCTGTACACGCTTGTTCCCCATAACTGAATACCATTTTTCACATAAACGTGCTTGTAGATCAGAAACACTTTTCACTACGGATAAAATAAGTGTACTGCTTATATTAGTTGTTTGCGAGGTAGAGTAAATGGAGATTTTTGATTGATTCATCGGCATAGATTTCCAAAAGGCCGAATATGACATTGTGTGCCCAGCATCCGTGAAGTTAATTCCAGTATTTCACTGGGTTCCATCCCAGTCATAATTGATTCATTTCACAGATTGACTGGTGCCAACAACAACATAGCCTTTCTATGTTATGCCTTGCGTGTTCTGATTATTTCACAATTACAAAATCGCAACAGCTTACGGTTATCGATAAATGTACTCCGCCCCGTAGAGCTCGATATTCATGGTTAGCTCTTTCTGTTTCCGTTAATAGCGCTCCAGCGTGATGTAGTACTACAATGTGCCAGATGCTTTCGGAGCTATTGGGTCGTGGAACAGGACAATCCTACTGATGTTTTGACGCAATTCACTTTAGTCAGTCAGCTAGCCATTCAGGTACAAACCGTGTACCAAGAGTACGCTGGTTCCGGCCGCTACATTTTCGTTCACTGGTACAGGGGCAATGAGGGGACAGTTACCCGCTTTACAATTGACAATTGAGAAATGCGGTTCCAAGACAATGTGAGGACTGCAAGCCTGATGATTGGGGGCCAGCCAATCAGCATGATGCACCTGGAATATTGCTTAAGTCACGGCCAACGCGCGAAAGACTGAAGTCCTTCTTCTCGTCAGAAGGGCTGGGGATAGCTTTCCCCAACTTTTAATCTCTCTTACACCGACGTCATTAGTTTACCTGTTAAGCATAATGTATTCACAGTACGATCCACGCCGCATTATGAACCAGTGGTCTAACTTGGCTCACCGGATGCTTACGATGCAGGTTTCTATTAAGAGATGAGATGGCCATTCCCCGTAGGGTATGCTGGACTACACATCCTGTGAAGTTCGTTTTCGCATAGCCTTGTGCACAGAGATTACTAAGAGGCTTGACTTGGCAATGAATTGTGAAAACTATGACTAGTAAACTCGTTAGTGATGATATTTTCTCCCTCCGGAAGAAGCACCTGAATCCGAGCACATCAATGGCTTGTTGTATAAATTGACGTTGATGTATCATGCAGTCATTTGTGCTCCGGCATCAAAGCTATTGCCCTCGACTCGTAGCTGTTGCAGCCCTCACTTGATTGCAACTACTTGCTGAGCTGGCTGGGTCAGCACTGGCGTGTGGGGTGGCTCTTTCCTACTCCCATAATCGACAGCAGTGGGAACCGATGTAACATTGCTACACGGCATATAGCTGAAAAAAAATCAAATGAACTGACCGGACACTGCGTCCATTTACGTGGCTTGAACGGATGGTTTGTCGATGTAAACACGTCGTCTTACTACCTCAAGTGCATTACCTGGCATGCTGCGCCATGCAGGTTCGATGCAAGATTGAGGTATTCGTGCCAGAGGCCATTAATTTGCCTTAGGTAGGCGTCTTTAGGCTCGGTCGTCTAGTACTCTTCAGCCGGGTCCACAACGCACTGTATTTTAGCACTGTGAAATCCAGTAGTGTGACAAAATTACTGGACAGTCCAAAGTTCCATTTCCAATAGATGGAATTCAATTATACCTGGTCAACAAGTAGCCGATCCGTTCGGTCAACAATGTACCTTGATCAGACAAAAAATAAGCCTGATAGAAGTACAGTCCGGTGGAGACCGGAACTATGGGCTGTGCCTTCACGTAACGGAACACTGGTATACGATTGGTGAGGCGATAGGCATGCAACATTGCGTTATTTTGTTCAGATATCTCACCCTGGATTTAAATTCTGGGTTTGATTTCTGAGGAGGCTTTGTTGGCTGCTGATCAGAAATATTTTCTTTCTACCCACTGGAAATTAAGTTGTGGCGAAACACTTGGGTATTCCTACGGGTGTTTAACGGCATTTAAACTGCTTTCTGGGACCGCCATCGCATTAAGCGATCCTAACTAGCTAAACGTTGATTTTTCTAGTCTGACCTGGTTGCGACGCACGAGTTACGTAGACTTACAGTCCAACATTTGGATATGCTATTCCTTGGTATTTCCCAAGCTCGTCACCGGGCTACAATGTGTTCAAACGGTCCCACGCTCCGTGTAACGCACACTTCCCGCAGTTAGACCATCCTGCTTGAGATTCCGTGGGTATAGTTTAGTGTAACCACCACTTCACGCTAGAGTGTAGCATTACTTCTTTCAGTAATGGCATTGTGACTGGTTGGCGATCGTCTCTTTCTTGAGGGTCAAACGAGTGCGGTCCATCATAGACCACCCGAATGTCACCATGTTTCTCGAGGAATCTCAGTTCAGATTTGAACTAGGGATTCTGCTTCACATCCAATGCCCCATTCTGCCCAGTCCAACTGCGTCGACTGTCCACTCTACCTGGGTAGGCTAGAAGTACATGAAGACGATCAGGGACCCCACGGACACTCCCTGTATGAACGTTCTTACGAATCAGACCTTCACTATGTTTGAGTGAAGCTTCCGTCAGAAGGTCCGGTATGTTTTACGACCATCGATTTACCTGCATTGCACAGCTTTCCTTTCCCATTTCTCAAGGTGTGATTGATCGAGACAGTTGTAGACTGAACCGCCTCGCAACACCCATTCGTCTTACAGCCGATGTTATTTTACTCGATAGGTAGGTCCGTGTGAGTAGTTGACTCAGTCCAGAATAAAGGTTTCGTTTTCTTCGTTTTCACATTGATTGTTCTGTCTACGTCATGTTTTTTGACTGAAGTCGGCAATCGTTTTCCTCTTGTTACGTTCGGATGTTCGCCAACTGGGAGGACTTTCAACGGACTTCTCTTCCAGCCTTCCAGCTGTCTAAATAGAACATCAATTACTCTATCAGTAGACTGCGAGTGACCCTTGTAATCGCATTTTCTTCTCATGCTACAATTACAGAAACCACGTCTTGATTTACCACTATACACCCATGTCAGTTTTCTCATTTGGCTTCAGTCCGTAAACACTCTTCCTAACATCATCTATTGCTACTTTTGTGTTTTTAAATGGCTGTGCAGAGGGGATCTTCCTGAAACTCTGGACGCTTTCTACAGTGAAACTGCGGATGACTTGCCATTTAGTTCCACCACTCATGAAGAGGCGCCTACAGTTGTTCGAAAGAAGGCCCCACAAAAGACAGAAGCCGAAAAGTCGAAGGAATTGGCGACAGCCAAGAAACAGGCAGAGCTGGAGGCCAGATATGACGTTTGGAACCGCGGGTAGGTGTTTCTATTCTGAATCTACCTGTGCTTTTCACGTTAGTATCAAAACTGTTCAAGAGACCTACGAGAAACTAAAGCAACAGGAATACGAGAGCTCAAAGCCGCTTGCTCGTTATGCGGATGATGAAGATTTGACGAAACATCTGAAGTCACAAATCCATGCAGAGGATCCAATGGCGCAATACTTTGCCAAAAAAGAACAGAAGAAGAAAAAGAAGCACAAACGGTGTAAGTACGCTGCTGATTTTTTTGTGTTATTGCTGGACAGACCGACTTTCAACTCTCCAGACAAATTAGACTTCTATTCAGAGCAGATAGTTGTTTCTATCCTTCAAACAGAAGTGCTGATAAGACATAGGATTACCCAACCGATACGGAATGTTTCTGTTCGATACAGTCCTATCAATCCTTACGGAAGTTAGTGAATTTACCTGCCATATAGATGGGATGTTTTGGCACCAGATGAATTAAAGTGCTTATCGTACACAGTAACTTCTCCCCTCAAGATGGACCCCCAAGTGCGACCATTTCATAGGAGGGTTCACATTAGGCATTCTCAATCGTATTTTCCAAAGGATTTCGACTGGGTGGTGGCTGGATCGACCAAAACTTCACACTCCGTCAGGTGCTAAGGTTAAGCCACATGGACAGACGACCCACAATCTTGGTGCTCCTTGGCTTAGAGGGTGCATTCGACTCTATCGATCAGTCAGTGCTGTTAACCACACCTGCTCGACAGGGTATGACACAGAAGTTTATGAACATAATGCGGTCCCTATATCCACATAATTCTGCGCGTGTGAGAGTGCATGGTGGACTCTAAAATGTCTCCTACAAAAGTGGCATGGATGTCCATTTTCTCCATTCGTGTTTGAATTAGTTATCAATAAAAATAATGAGGCGAATGCTAGAAGCTTTTCGAAACCCCAGTGTTCAAATCCGTCGGTCTGGAATATGCAGACGACATCTCCGTCTTTGAAGACGAACGCGAAGCAAAGCCCTATTGAATAAACTGACCACCATTTTTCGGCATGCACCTTGCGCCTACTAATTGCAAATTCATGCTTCAGAATTTGAGATCTCTGAATATACTCCTTACAATTCAAGTAGAAGCACTGGAATTTGTGGAGAATTTTACATGCCTCTGACAGAAGTGTCTGATGAATTAGTGAATGAATCTAAAGAACCCGAATGACGTTTTTCATTTGTCATCGCTTGTGGCATCAAAAAGATATATCAGCTGGTCTCAATAGTCGTGACTACTAGGCCGCAGTAAGGACTGTAAGGTTGCAAGACTGACTTTACGGGAAAAATCTGAGGCCGTTCCATGTTTTTAACTATTGATTCCCCAAGGACTGCAAATCTTGAATAGCATCAACATATTTGTGACAACGTCATTCGAAAACGGGTGGGGTAGTTGTTACATCACTAGCAGAGAGTAGCCAGTACCATCAACTACGGTGGCTGGGCAATGTGTCACGCGAGCCGAACGGTCGTTTACTGAGACGAGTGGTCTCCCTGCTTCCATCAGAATGGCGCGAATTGCGAAATGGACAACGGCTAACTTGGCAGATGGGTATGAAATAAAAGTTAAGGTTTGTTACTGCGGTACGCCTCCTAAGATGGGATTTCCGTGACACCCCGCGCTCTTCTGGAGGCATTACATGAAATAGCGGCTACTCTGTGTTGCTGGTCGTAGTGTAAGCGACCACAGAAGAGCTTCTGTCCCGTTTGGATGGTGTCTTTCGGAGTATACATGGCTGTGGTTTCTGGCTGAAGAAAAAAATCTGAGTCCTTTGTAACTTCTGTGAAGTACCTCGTGTTCGTTATCGATGCAAAATGCCGACTCACAGCACCCGTCAGAATGTCCCCACCCATTCTTTGTGAACCTGAGTCATTTTTGGGTTGAATCACCAACTACCGCGCTTACGCGACCTCTTAGATCAGTTTTTGACCAAGGAGTTTCAGTGGTTTGGTCACGTGGCTGTCAACTTGCGTTCGAAGAGGTGAATGAAATATTGCCACCCGAAATTCTGTTATACACCTCAACCCAAATCCGCCTATCAGCCTCACTGCGGGTGCAACCAACTGGAGGATTGGGTTGATCATAACCAGCCACTTCCCTGATTGTACACAACAGGCAATTGCCGATGCAGCAACGTCACTGACTCCAGCGGGACGAAGCCATGACGTGACGATCACAAACTAGTGCCAGTCATATTTGGTTCCAAGGGAGGTATGCACTCAGCCAAAAGGTTGCAATGATGGGGTACAATCATGCTTGGCTACTACTACCGTAAAATATGCCTCAACCGAGTGGATTGAACAGGCAGATGTGTTTCTGCAATTGACTGGTTCTCATGCGATACAACCATTAGATACTGTCACGCCAGCTCTTGCCTTCGAATCAGAAGTCCGTGTTGCGGTGTTGGAAAGCATAAACCAACTACCAGTGACTTTTGACAGGATTAGTCATGCCACCACAAATGGCAACGTACTACAGAAGACTGGAGCACTACCAAACCAGTCGGCTAAGAATCTTTCAGGAGAACTTAGGCAACTGTTTGAGCGGTGAATTTCGTTGTCTTTTGTTGATGATGATCTTATTTTCGGCTACCAGGTCGTCGTTTCCACCTAGGGTCATCGGCAGATCGTTACTCATTTTCATAATGAACGTCTGGGAACGAAACACATGAAGATCCTCACTCGCATCTGTCTATTGGCCTGGTATGGATGAACTCATGCCAATCGATTCCTAGATATCTTTGGACGAACGGGGAAGAGACCACGCTAGAAGCCTTGGACACCTTGTTGATCTACAGGATAACTCCCAACCCACGGTCTCGTGGCATTCGCGGAAGTGATGATAAAGAAGCGATCAAAACTTCCGCACGATACTACCCTACCAACATGCTTGTCATCTCAGTCAACGACAGAAAGGAAATCGACATTCCAACCTGGAAACCAGAGGCTGTAACCCTGGTCACAATGACGAAAATGTCAATCATCCTCAAAAGGAGCGGTCAGGTGACTTATATCGTCGTGGTGGGGACATCAACATGGAAATGGTGCGACACTGAGTGTCCGATTCCAATAGCAGAACAACCATCATTTTTCAGCTTTCGACCTTCCAAGACCAATCGCAGCAGCCATCTGTGGCACCTGCGATAGACCCATTGCTGCAACCGAAGTGTTTGACCTACTGAATCAGATAGCAAGTGAAACCTATCTAACTTGACTTGCGGTGACAGCCTTTGTCGATGGGTGAAAAGGCTGTCGGTGTTTCCTAAGATTAGTCCGAAAGTATCTGAAACTTACCTAGAACCATCAACTTTGATAAAATCGCCTCAAGAAGGCCGCCGAACCTTCGAGCCAAAAAAGCCAGCAGCTGATTGAATCTTCAAGCGATTACTCGCGGTTACTCGGGTGTTCATCCTTGGATTGTGCCATCCACAAGGTGATTTCGCTTGAGAGAGGCTGCCACTCTGAAGTCCTCTCCAACGGCTTCTTCGCTTGGCTAGAGAAACTGATTGAGTGCGGATACTTAAAGCGGCTTCCTCTGCGATGCGATTGAGAGTGGTATATACGAAGGCGGTCAAGCACACCGCTTATGATTCAATCACAATGTCGTATGTCAAGTATGATAAATCAGCTGGTGTTTTGATCACTTATCACTATATCTCGAATATTATTAACTCCCCAACTATATTTTATTGATTTTCATGGTTTAGTCACTTTAATCATATGTAAAAAGAGATTGACACTGGAGTCCAAGCTAAGTTTCCTAGTTTCATGGCGATCTACGACCAACTGACTGCGGTTGTTTTGTGCTTCTTTTGTTTTTATTTGATTGCAGAAACTATTCTACAGTACAGTGAACGTTACCTGTTAGTTACAGATGCCATCAGTCCACAGGTTTACTGCTTATATGTCGCTGGTTTTTCGCATCGATTGGCCTTCAAGTCAGTTATAGGACAGTCGGACAGCACATGCGTACTTGAACAGCTTACTCCCTGTTTTATGGGACTCCGTAACCTTGCAGCCCGACTCGGTGGTATAAGCAGACGGCGTTAGTTCACAGGACCAACACTTGTTCATACTGTCATTCGTCCGTCGTACTGGCGGAGTGTTATTTTGGATAATTTGTCTTCAGCCTAACAGCACAGCTCGGTCTCCCAACTAGGAATTTCACCCCAGGTACGTTGTTGGTGATTCTGCTTCCGTATAGCCGCTGAACCGCGTCATAGGTTATTACCATCTGTCATCGGTACACAACGTTATTACATGATCCTAGAGGAGGGCTATTGANGTGATTCTGCTTCCGTATAGCCGCCGAACCGCGTCATAGGTTATTACCATCTGTCATCGGTACACAACGTTATTACATGATCCTAGAGGAGGGCTATTGAGAACAAAACAGCTAGACCTTCGTTGCAACCCGTGTTGCCAGTTCTGTCTCTAACTATTGGAATGCAGTGCCATTATACCACCCGTAAAATGATTCATGTGGCCCATTTACTGACTGTAGCGTGACTAATTCGCGTTTTCAAAGGGGTTTTTGTGCCCTATGTGGGCTTTCCGTTTTGACCAGCTGCTCAAGGCGACTAGGTTCGCTTTTTTGCCAAATATTGATGGACAGGGAAAACTGTACTAGCACTCAACAACCATGAAGGTAAGTATCGTCTGTTCGTGGCTCTGTTAGTGGAAACCCATAGAATATCGGGGATGCTTTCGAGGATTGCTGTATTGTTTTTCCAGGCGAAGTCGGATTCTGTGGTTTGATGATTTGATCGCTTCAGCAAAGGCCGGATCACCACCGACCCAATGACCAAGGTGTTTTGCTTATCGACCCATCACTAGGCTGGATTACCCCATTTGGCGGTGCTAATCTATACCACGGTAAGTTTCTCAAGATGTGATGTCTGTTCAGACGGAGCCCTTCTAATGCAGCCACTATTCGTGTACTCTTCTCGCCTGGCGTTCCGTGATCAGAAATCTAGTTGGTGATTCCCAGTCCTTGATTGATACTCACGTGACCTTTTCGCGGTTGTTTGGAGGCTTTGGACTTATTCTTGCAAACAGTTACCCATTGAACTCTAATTCTGGGAATGCTTTCATTTTGTCATTTACCTATTTCAGCTTCATCCGCTTCATCTGGAGACGAGGATAGTCCTGAGCGGCCCCGGTACCAGGGCCCTGAGCCCCCACCCAACAGATATGGCATCGCTCCGGGCTATCGTTGGGACGGTGTGGATCGCAGCAACGGTTTCGAGCAGAAAATTGTGGATGAAGTGACCCGTCGACGTTTGGATCGGGAAGCTGCTCAGCAATGGGCTATGGAAGATATGTGAATCGACTGGTCTCAGTCAAGTTAGCCGTCCACACTGTAAAGTACCCCTTTCGACCGAACCTGTACATATACGAAACCTCCCCTTCCACGTCCAGTGTATCGACCAACCATCTATAACGGTTATTTGTGCAAACTCTGCATATCTTGTCCTCCTCTGTTCAATCCCAGTGGTTCTTCACCGCAGTTACGAAGACCACACATTCGGTGATATGACATGTGGAGTGTACGACCAGGTGTAAATTGAATTTTCAAATCACCCCAACTACTCACTGTGTAATTAGCAGCATTTGGCTTGGGTCTTTTCAGTTAAGTGATGGACCCACAGTTGCCACTGACCAGTCTTTCCAAACCAGGTCTAGAGTGAATTCTACACTCAACCCTCGGCGATGCCAATGAAAGCCAGTCCGTATTGTGAGGGAACAATCGTGCTGTAGTGCCACCCCTGCATTCTCGTGACTTACAAGGTCTGAAAACTTTCCAGAATGATGGGAGAGGAGAAGGCCTCCTGCCTACCTTCTACCTTATTCGGGTACTAATATACTCACATGGTATTAGCCCTTGCTCTTCCTGTCTTTGAATTCCAACGTACGTCGTAAGTAAAATATGATGATGATCTCAGTGTTGGTGCTACAACAGACGCTTATCCACTCTTCAACCAACACGTTTTTTAATACTGAGACCCTGTTTTTGCCTTGTGTCCATAACTGCTAGGAATCTACCCAACTCAAAAAAAATCGAGCATTGTCACCAAGCTTTAAGTGGCCACCAAGATGTTTTCCCGCAATCTGTTTAATAACAGGTGCTAGTGAACTTATGTCATGAGAGTTACGGTAAAAGGTAAAAGCAGGAAGAGTGCAACAATGCGGCATAGAATGTGGAAATGCCCTTCTTTTATCACGCCGTTTTCAGTGCCTATCATATACTTGTTGCCGTATGAAAAAAGGCTAGTAACTCGAACCTGAGTGGGAGAACCATAGAGCAGATCGTGCTCAGTCCTACCTTTTTCGAGTAACCGCAGCAACTTACTTCAGTCGATACTGCCAGACGCGTTTGTGTTGTCCGAAAATGATAAACACAAAACCTCTTCCACCTGACGTCTGACATATGTCCAGTTTTATTTTACTCACAGACAGGGGCACTACGTGTCCGAGCATCGACTGTTACTTGCGATCCAGTGTTGGAATTAGATTCCGAGAGCTTCTCAATGGCTGGGTGGGGACGCGCATGCCCCTGAAAGGCACAACGGAAAGCAGCAATGAACAAACGTGTGATCCGAATCCACATAGGTGCTCCATGATGGGCCACAATCAGTAATCGATTCATGCGGTGTGGGCTATCTGTGTTAGAGGTTGGCTCGCATGCGGGGACACCATGTGGCCCAGCGGCTTCAGTTGTTTTGGAAGTTAGCACCACAACTAAATCAACACGACTGCAGCAGGCGTTCCCTCGTGCCTGTGCGTCTTGGTTTCAGTTCAAAACAACCACCCAATCAAACCTCAGGAGCGCTAAGTCTGCTTGCTTACAGATCCATATTTCCGGCAACCACAGCAATATCCGAGCGCTTAGCCCCCACAGCAAGTGGTTTCAGTTCAAAACAACCACCCAATCAAACCTCAGGAGCGCTAAGTCTGCTTGCTTACAGATCCATATTTCCGGCAACCACAGCAATATCCGAGCGCTTAGCCCACCACAGCAAGTCGTTTGAAGCGTAAGCAGATGTGATGAACAGATAGCGATCATTGGCTCGTTCATTTGATACTCACGAATGCTGTCAAGCGGACTGTATATAAGCGACCGTCAAAGGTCAACGATTCAGACAGGAACCCTTCATTGCGGTGGCGTAGATCAATACCAACCCCAGCGGAACTAGCCGCAGTTGCCTCTGGTTCGAGCAAGAAGTAAGAGCAAATCAATGAGAAGGTCAGTTCAACAACCGTACTTGGACCTGTCGATCCTCGTTTCAGGGAGTTAACACACATCAATAGAAAGCCAGTCCAGTGTACATGCAAGAGCATTCTGTTGTCCAGCTTGTATCACGGTGCGAATGATAAAGGATACCAGATCAACTGGACGTCGGGGTTTGAAGAATGATTTGTAGAGCCCGTTCAGTTCGATAGGGATTTGTACTGATTCGAATTCATATCTCTCGTTTGTGGTACCTGTTTATGGACCACTCTGGACTCCATTTCAGCGAAAGACCTGGTAAGTACTGACCATTCCTTGTCCATCCAGAAAGTCGGAATTTATACATGCAGTAAGGGCATAGTTTCTTTAGAGACACAACGTAGTCATAACGGTGAGTGTCCTACAGTTTTTCCCGGATCATCAGTTTTTTTCCAGCCTTGCTGAGTTCGGATGCATTGTGCTCTGTTTTCTTACAAGGGGGCCCATCTAGTGCTGAGAAACTATGGAGGCCAAAGTGATCGCAGCCGTCAGTTACTAATGGTGAGACTCAGTTCGTTACAGCCACAGAGGTTAATGTAGGAGTAGTTCCCGCCCTGGGTCAATTTTCTTAAAATGTCCATGCACAACCCAAAAAGGACCCCCAGTTAGCATTGGGAAAGCTTCTTGAACCACAAATGCACAAACTTCTCAAAGCTTACACTGCAATGCTTTACAAGCGTTCTCAGATAACTTTGGTCGTAATTAAGGGGAGGTATAAATAATTTTCCAGACCATTTGGTTTTTCCGAGTAATTACATAGAAATCAATGGATTAGACGATGGCAGCCGTCACTCCTTGATTCAGGAAGCTGTGTGCTTTCGGAGTAAGGGCGTAATTCGGAAAAATGGCGCTTTAGATACCGGCTCAATAAAGGTTTTGTATGAGCAGATTCGTGTAGGAATTAGTACGTTTGAAAATTGGAGTTCAGGACAGTTTGAATGTTCGTAAGACTTCCTAGCCAATAGGCCATCCTTTACGCTAACGATCAAAGGAGGTCGGGAGGTCCTGAGGAACAGTATGGAGACCATACTTCAGAAGATTTGGGACGAAAACAGAATGCCAGTGTAACGGGTCATGCCCGAACCCCGTACTTACAGACGTGGTAGGTGCTTTGTTTACCCCAGGAGTTGCATAACTTCCGGTGGACTAGCTGGAGATGAGGTTAGTTATTAAAATCGAGGGGGGGGGCAGGTCAGCTTCTGCCGACACCTATGGCGCCTACGTGACGTCAGTTTGTTTATCAATGCTTTATGGGTAAAAAAACGTAGACTCTGTGCGCAGAGGACATACGAATGTCAGTATTCGACCATCGGTATTTCCCAAGCATTTTTCAGTTCTGGTGGGAAAACAGAAGTAGTAGGGATGAGGTACGCCAGGTTGTTTTACGAAGAAAGAAGTCTCACGATAGATGAATTACTCACGCTGGTTACGCTGATTAGGACGTGATTCACATGTCAGAGGACCATCTGCCTTGCAGAGCTCTCTTCACCCAAACCCGAGCTGTGTGGAAGCAACTGAAAGGTTGACTATAACCTGGCAACGAGGTTTGAAAACGCTAACCAGTAAACAAAGTCCGGTCTGCAACTTCCGCCCCCCTGTATGGGGACCTCGGGATTCAACTCACCAATGGTTAAGGACACTGTCAGGAGTGACCGAATCGTTAAGTCTGTGGTATAGGTACCGCCTCCAATATGTAACTACCCAGTTCCCCAAACTAACTGATCATACCATCGCCTCCAAGGCCTGGTTGTATATTCGACACTCTCCTACTTTCCGGTGTTTGAAGCTGTAGCACCTGGGACTATTGTCCCCTTGGTACACGGTTTATTGCTGATAAATTGAAATCGATAGAATGCAACTTTGTGCATACAAAACCTGACAAGAAACGTCTAGATTCTGAGTGAGATTCTTACTACAGTAGTCAGTTTGGCCATCTATCAGCGCGCGAATGTATCTGGTTTGACCTACTCGATCCGAACAATGGTTTGTGGGTTTATATCCTATTTGAAGTACTGTAGAGTAGTGGGATGCTTTCCTGCTTTGAAGCTCTATTAGACTACTGAACCAGATGAATTTCGGTAGTATCATTAAAAGACGGTGGTCGAACTTTGCGCCCCCCTTGATTGGAACTTTTTGATGTGTCTGGGGTCAGGAATGTGTTCAAGAAGATAGACCACTTCAAAAAGACATCCAAAGTGACTGTTCACCCATAGAGGTATAATTCTATAGACGAAAATGTTGGTAGCTCAGGTAGCGTAGATGGTCGTTGTTACAACCACTAACCCACCGCTACACACTGATGATATCAACTCGATTGGTGATGAAACATTCGTAATCAAATTACCCAGCTCAGCACACAAGTGAGCGACCATTCTCGGTGCCCTTCACCACAAAACTCACTAGAATGTACTGTCAAAAGATCTCGGACAACCAGTGGAGTTCTTCAGGAATACTGCTCTCTCTTATGCCTAGCTTTGTCGCATAATCATGACATCATGATGCACTCATTCCAACAGACCAGAAATCTGGGTATGGGAATCGTAGTTTAAGTAAGACTGGTGGACTTGGGCCATCGGGGCTGCATAGTTTTCCCATGTATCGGTCATCATTCTGCGCCATCTGCCTAAACTGAATATTTGGAGTGGTCTCATGTTTCTAGTTCTGTCTTGATCCCCGAAGTGCAGTCTTGAAAATTTTAGTATCTTATTTTTCCTTTGAAAATTCGAGTGAGGACCCCAACTTTGTTGATCGCTTTACGTATTCTAGCATCTGCTTAAACCAAGCGTGTAGCCGGACGTATTAGGCTGATGCGTGCAGGAGGTTCGAGCACCGTTCACCAAATTGCGTCATTTGTAGCATCGGAAACAACTACCTTCAAAGTTAAGGGACTGTGCATATTAGCTAACTGTAACAACAGTTTTAACATATGGTTCCGATCCGAGAAGTTTGAGCGTTTTCATACCCTCAGGTACCGATGTCTCCGTAGCACAGCATGAATAAGCTGCATACTGGGTGCTCGCACCCTTGTGTTCGATCAGATTTACCAGAACAGTAATTTAAGTTTATCAGGTCAGTAGTTGGGACGTATGCTACGCTACCCACACAACCTTTTCCTAAAGATCACCGTTTTCTACTCCAGGCCTTTGACAAATTATACAGGAGACAATCCGTGGCATAACAGGATGAAATGTAGGAGACCACGCTCAAATTAAGTGCAGGGAGATTCTCGCACCTCCCTTACTGGAGTCTGCATGACTTTCCTCCCACGGGGATGCAAACTGCGTGACAAAATCAGTCGCAGTGCCAAGCATGATGTCACATTCAATTCACACCGTCTGGCTAAGGATTGTCGGTCGTGTACTTGACATGTGTTGAATGAGGATCGCGGAATTTGGGGCACTCCTGAAGATGATTTCTCATGAACCCGAGTGTATTTATTTCACGGCCATTCGATGCGCCTTGATATTTTTTATTCCAAGTTCATAAACTTGCTTTCACTCAGTCCCCATCGATCCATGTCCTACTTTTTACTAATGTTCCCTTACCCTGTCAGTGCGTGTTTGCCACTGGCTTATTTCTGTTGTGGTTGTTTTGTTTCCTTTATCTTATTAAGGTATACGGAGCATTTCAAACCTAACCGCGCAGTCTATCTACCTATCTATCTATCTGTCGTTGTTGAGCGAAGTGAAACAGGACATTCGTAGGCGTTTTACCTTAACGAACAATTATCAGAGGGCCAGATGAATGTTATGTCTACAGCGTATTATGTTCTCGATTAGCATCAGTTGCTCAATGGATAATCTCTCTTGATCTTCTGACAGAATCAGTGAGCTTTCACTCCAAGATCTGCGAATGGTATCTTGTTAGACGGCCATGTAAATTTCAGTTTGTATTCGGTTGTTTCGCTGCCCGTAGGCTCGCGCTTCGGCAGGGGGCTCCATCCCTTGATATGATAATCTTGGTGAGGGTTCACACGGTAACCCGGCTGCAGCTGCTGCAGAACACCATAATTGCTGAAGACTTCGGTCACTGCTTTCGGTGGCGGCGCATACTTGTCCCGGGCTTCCGAAACCCCTGGATAGGTTACTACCAGGCCGGCCCGTTCCTGTGAGTAAAATATGAAAATATGATTAAGGTGACCGGGTTCATTACGGATATTCAGTGATATACGATATTGTGGGTGAAAGAATCACGTCAGACTTGTAAAGTTCTGAAAATCTGTCGGTGGATAATCAGCCTTCACCACATCCTTCAAATTGCACCAATATTTAAAGAGGGGCGAGACTGAATCAGATGCCTACCCTTCTGAGTCGAAGGTAGACTGCACTCTGCCACAAAATAAAAAAATACCTGTGTTCTGCCGTTTTTAATAGTAAAAAAAATGAAATTCGCTAACTGTCTGAAGTATCCCATTGGTAGAATGAGAAAAAGTCATTAGAGTGAAGTTGACCCCTCTGATGTCTCCACCTGCTCAGACGTACATAAAACGAACACAATCAACCAGAACTCTGTGCAGACATCAATCTCAGGAATTCCGGAACAAACTCGAATTGAATCTTACTAAACGAATTGGGCGCAATATGTTGCATAATATATAAACTTCGAAGTCGAAGCAGTCTAGTAGAATAAGGTGTTATAATCCGAGTTTGCAGATGCTGTGTGCAGCCTTTACCACCATTTTGACAGTCAATTAAATGGGGACCAGATGCAGCGCTATTTCGGTCCGCCATCGTGCCTTCTGATACCTCCTGAGATCTGATAGTCAGATACCTGTGTCTGTGAGCTCTCTGTGCGTGTACGCGCGATTGTGTGTACTTTGACTGGGGCGTGAAAATGTACGAGGTAGTGGCTCCCTCAGCACAGTTGAATCCTAGTGTTTCAGCGAATGTCCGCTCCACGTGCGACCTGAATTCTGACTTGACTGTACGTGTGGCATTGAGGTTGATTTGATAGTTTGACTTGAGTGGGGGGATTACGACGGCTTAATCGCGTTCAAGCTTTTTAAAACTCAATTGGTTTCATAGAGGTAAATGCGCATCGTGTTTGTACCCCACGATTCGCACACTAGAGTTGCTTGGTTGTCTGGTTTGTGTATTTGGCTGGGTCTTCTCCAAGGGAAGTTATTGACACTGTGCGTTGTTTCGGTTCAATAGGGTCCATAGTTTGCACAAGGTGACATCGAAAGATGCTATCCATTCGGAAGAATATTCTGCTATTATAAACCCAGAGCCTCTTTCACATGGCTCCGGATGTGCCATCTCTATAAGCCACTCGCTCAGTTAACCAGTGGAAATGCCCCATAGATATACACAGTGGTATTCCCCTTGTAATTTTGTGTACACAAGCAATTACTTCCTGTTCGATGGCCGGCTTTACAGACAGAAGGACAGAGTAGCCGTTGGCTGTCGACATAGTCCACTTCTTATGGATTTATTCGTATCCAAATTTGAAAATACAAGTCTGCCTGATACAGTAGCACCTCTCGAATATTATGGAAAATATGGTGATGGTACTTTTACAGATCACGGTGATTCTACTGACCTTGATGATTTTTAATGAGGTCCATCTAAGTATATCCATTACATGTGAATATGAACAAGTAGACCAACTACCCTTTCTTGATGTGCTGCTGATAAGAACACAAGATGGGTCGATACGTCGTGTATATCTCAAATCGATATGGAGAGGTCAGTACATACACATTTGCAGCTTCGTTTTCTTCAAATTCAGAGGGAAACTTGTTCATTGCGCATACAACAAAGTAGTAAAAATGTACTCAGCGAACAATTTGATGAAGGGATTAGACCCTCTAAGATGCGTGATTCCTAAGACGACTTCTGCCGAGACATGGATAGCAAACTATACAGGAGGTAAAACCCAAATAATTCTGCCCCGGTCTTCCTTTCAAAAGTGACATGGTTAGTGAAGACTAGAAGCCAGTTCCCGAGATATTTTATGCAGCAGGCAGAAATGAGATTCTCACTGGTCATCCCATCATCACACGAGAGCGAAAAACACCCTTAGGTCAGACCAGATCACTTCGTCCATGAATTTTTCTGCTGCTATGGCAAAGGTTATACCGGTCAAACTATCAGGTAGGTGTCGGCGCGCATGATGAGTACAAGCCATCCGCGTACCTAATTGGACAACGACAATGTAAATAGTTTCCCTTTTGTCCAATCAACCTAACACTGGACACAAGATTGATATTTTAATCGACTTTAAACCAGTTTTTGAAGTACAAGTCAGGATATCAAAATTTATATGATCAATGATTCTGTCTACTACGGGGACATAAACATAAACTTTGTGTAGAGACATTTTGTACAAACATTGAGTCTCACGTGACTAAGTGTAATCGGTCCTAACCATCGATCCTCGATTTTAAAAACGTCGATGTTTACATGGAGTTTTGATCGATTCTGTTTGTTTTATACGCATCTGAGAATTTAATGAATTCACTTCGAGCAACCTATGTGCTTTCCTCATCTAGAAAAGTATAGTATGACCGTCAGTTTGTCCATTGAGCTGGAAAGTGTAGCCAACATTCCACTAGACGTGTTGACGGGATGCATGTGTGGTGTATTTCGGGTTTTTAGCACGGATGTGATGGAGGCGGCAACTTCCGCTAACAGTCACCCAACCCTAGACTGTTTCTCCAGAGAGATTGAACCGAATTTGATAATCTAGCAAGATAGGATGTAGGAATGCTGTGGAACAAATTCAGGGCTGTGGAGGAAGTTATTTTAGACACGCATGACTATCTGACAACAGTGGACAAAGCGCACAAATACGTCAAAGAACCAAACAGCTTAGATGCACTTACCTGTGGTGTCTTTGGCCAGGTATTTCTGTCTTTGTTTTTCGGATAACTTGCTACGTACTTCGTTGCTTGACAATCCCAGCTGGCCTTGGGTATATTGAAACGTGGCGCGGTTTGACATCGACCCGCAGGATATGGAGTGTCGATTACCTGCACAGTAAAACAAACAAGTTTTTTTTTAAACACCGGGCCATTTTCATGCATTTAGATGCAAACTTAAGTAACTAGAGCTGGATGCGTTGAGAGTTCGACAACGTTGTGAATGCATCGTACTCGGTTACACTTTCCAACTGCGTTATGTGTTCCGATAATAGACATTTTGATTCTGAAATTATTTTGTCATCCAGCAGTTCTCATTTTTTGGGTTTGCTCAATTTCAGATGCTTTTGTATTGTCCATAACATTTTTAATGTATCACAGATACATTATTGTAAGTATCCAGCCAATCCACTTTATAAAAGGAAGCTGCCAATCTATTTTGTAGGCGAACGCATGTGGCACACCATTTCTAAAGCGCTGGCCTACTGTAACGTGAAAAATGGCTTGGTTTTGCGTAACCAAACTTCCAAAGCAATATGCCCGTTTTATCTAAACTGACTTGCCGACTGTCACTCTGCCTCAAATTCTCAGTCTGCATCCGTCATATAAGGAAAGGTGATTCAGTGAATCTTATAGTAATTGATAGCGCACACCTGACAGACTCCTCTGATTTGAATGAAGGGATCCCGTGACCTTCTTGTGTAAGCGGATACAGAATGATGAAAACAACTTTGGCCCTTCTGCTTCCGAATGTCTTTGCAGTCCGTGGTATTTTGAACCTATGTACCATATGAATAACGTAGATGAATAAGAACTCCCAGCCCGGTCATCGAAACATTGAACTCCGTCGGCATTGGTAACTGTTGGTAACTCAAGTTAGTTTTGTCCAAAGTGAAATTCTGATTGACTTGACACATGACTTCAAAGTGAAAACTTACTGTTGATTTTGGATAATCTGTCTCCAAGGTACGACGGATGACCAGTACGCTTACTCGAGTACATCAGGAAATCCATGTTTAACGTTATATCATGGATACCTTCCATTATACACTGACGAAATCTCACGATGGCCAACTGCATCACTCCAACGAATGAGAAAAACAGTATGCTGACATTTAGACCATGGACACGTTCAACGGTTTTCAAGGAATCTGGTGTTTATTGTCCATTGCACATGTACACAGTTGAATTTGGCAGAACTAGCGAAAGACTAAGTTGAAAAGCAAACATGCATAGGCATTTTTCTCAAACAGTAATGGTTCTAAACACTTCTTAGTGATTTCTCATGGAATCAGTTATCTATGTCAGATTGCCTGATCCCACAGCACAATGGAAGCCGATGTAATTAGTAGAAGGTTGGTTCAACTAAAAACAGCTCTATTTCAAACGAAATTTGGTGGAAGACCATCGCGCAATTATCCCGTACCGTTACTTTCATCCAAACGATGTTACCGAGAAAATAGTATAAATCCCACCAGAGTAAATCAAGCACTCCTACTAGAATAGCAACTTAGTTATTGTGTCAGCAAGCCTTTGCTAGCCAAGCACGGAGCCACTCAATGAGCCAAGTATCCACAAACAGGGCACTGCATGAGCATATTCTCAATATTGAAGCGATTGACCAACTACCAAGCGCTACTATTTGAAGGGGCGGAATGTAGATTTGTGTTCTACAAAGCCTGAAACTACTAGCAGTAAAATTAGGGACAGACAAACAGCCTTCAGCAGTTGCCTGTCGGTTAGATCCAAATGATGGGTTTTCAGATGACCGTTTTTTCCTGACCTTAATATACTCGAAGTCGCCATCTATTTATCACTGCATAACAAAGCCAAAAATGGAGGTGAGAAAGTCATGACATGAATAGTCATGCCAGTTTCTTGAAGGCATGTGAAAGCTGTACAGAGATCGCCTTATTGAGGTTCTTCATCGAATGCAGGTAGAAAGTGCTGGTACAGTACTAGTACAGTTGACTGAACCTCAAAAGCTGTTCGAAGTACATATCACATGATGGTATGATTAACGTTGTTTTTTGAGGTTGCGTGCAGGTGAAAATTAAGTGCATTGCTGAATAACCATTCACGGTAGTGGTGGAAATTCATCACACAGCATGCCCGTGATTGTAGGCTCCAACCCAAATCAAGTTGGGTAAGTCTTACAGTGCACCAAGCCGACAAAACCATGAAGCACCCATGTGAATTGAATCCGCTTTGTATCAATTCCTCTTTCTTTATAAGGTGGTTGGAAAACTGAGAGACTGTTTTGCTGACCTAATCAATGTACCGGCTAAGCTCTACAACTGCCCAACTCGGTTAATTAGAAGCTGAAACCAAGCTTCCTAACTTTAAGTCTTGCGATCAAGGGTGGGCAGCAATTATATGGTAGCTGAGTCCTATGCGAATATGGAAGCTGATGTTGTTTGAAAATGATCGTTATCATGTATTCATGTACGGTTTAACCATACTTATACCAGTTATCCAGGCATCCTGTGGATACCTGAAATTATGAACAAAACCAGAATTTTTAAGAAAGTTTAAAACAGCCATTAGCAAATTAAAACGAACCCTCACACAGAAGGAGCGCTGAAGCTGAATCCTCATTCACCACTTTTAAGACTGCTGTTTCGCTGTATAAAACCCTTATTTCTTTGACCTTGAGGTGCTACATTACTGCGTTTCGAGATAGACAGTCTAATAAATATATCGGTCGAAGATGGTAGCCGCTATTTGTAAGATGTTATCAAACTGCACAATATCACTCCAATTTGGGTGATAAATTCTTGTTTATTCACCAATCAAAAGTATATTGAGTAGTACTTTCTCGAGCATATGGCAGTAATTCCATGCTTGTTGCGGAAGCGATAAATGTCAGTGTTGGTAGGAGTCTATTAAACTCACCTTATTACCTGGTTTAACACTCACCTCTTTGCCTCCCTTTCTCAACCACCTTGTACAAAGTGCAGTTGGAGAACTGGTGGCTGGTTTATCCAAACCATACAGGTGTACTAACTGATCCAAATGCTTCGTAGAGCAAACTGCCGTTGGCTTGAGTTTGAGAAAAGCAAAAGTGCAATTTACCGTTCCTTTTCTGTTGCTCTGCAAGTTGCATGATACTCACACTTAAGTCAGTCTTTATTTTCCGTATTACAAATGTTTTATTATGATGTGAGTACCGGCTGAAGTCAGTTCTGATTGGTTGAGAACAATGTAGGTTGTTCTGTCATCCAGCTGCACTTTTAGTATGTTGGACCGAGGTCACGTGCTGAACAATCAATCCAGTCGTTCGCTTCGAACTCCGTTCTTGAGCTGTTTCTATGGTTATAATTGGTGTATTTTATCCGGATAATTCATTGTGCACATATACACTTTACCAGACAACACGAAGCCGATCCTCTCGTACTGAAAACAAATACACAAAAACAAGCAGCCACAAAGGGTATTCTACGATCCCATTCATAAATCCTCTTCTTTCTAATAATTAACAATTCAATTTTTCAGTGAGTGTCTTTCTAGTGCCTCGTTGCAAGCAGTCCTATTGAGAAGCATATGATCAATTTACTAAGAGGCTCTAACGACAAGACACTTCGCTCAAAAAGTTGTCACGTGATCCTCCTTATGACAGCTCATTACCATGAATTGAGTGTTATGTTATGCTGTTGAACAGCCCCATGGTAAATTTACTAACTGTGACTAGTCGACTTCCTGGCGCAAACCGTAAATCGGCGTGATGCAAAAGAATGCGAGAATCACCGCTTAGTTGGGGAAAGAAAAACATCCATGTGTAGGAAGTGGCCTAGCCGCTGTGGTTAACATTTCCGCTACCAAACGCGCCCTTCGTGTGCTTGTGGTGAATGAACAAGTTTTATTTGATACTAAAACGCAGATAGAAAATACTGTGCAAGTCTCTGTTTAATTCAAAACAACGAATGGCCCTGGTTGTGTGGCTGGCAGATTTGCAGCCCTAGTGTCTGGGTCACTCTTCGTTTTCTACAGCAAGCTATCAGGCGACAGTTGACAGACAGTCAAAGTCAACTGAGCACGTGAACCTAGCACAAACAGATTGTGCTAAAATCCATGGTTTTCCCTGCTATCAAGATGTTCCTGTGGTGGAGGCATGAGCTTACGATTCATAATCAATTCAGGTTAAGCTGGCCATAGGATTTACATCAAGTACTTAATGTTTACATTAGAGTTACAAAGGTAGCTGACCCTCCTCCAGGTAAGCCACTTCCGTACCCATGACTAGAATACCGTGCTAGGTACACGTTCTCAACATGGGTCTCTGGAAAATAGCAAGATGTCAGTCATTGAAACAGGTAATCAGTCGGCATATGTGGTGGCTAAATCCTGGGAATTTGATTCTAATGACAGACCTGGATATGTCAAGAATTCTAGCCCAGACTACATACGGCGAATGGTCGGAAAACTAAGTCTAAATAATCATGGGCGGCAGAGGAGCTCTGTTGATATAGGCAAGAAAAAACGTTGCATTAGCTCCGCCCAAATTCGTAGGCTTGAGGAATCACACTTGGCAGTTTGCTTCTAGACGTGAATCACTGTGTTCATGGCATAAAACGGATCAACTACCGATAGATCCTTATCAAACACTAAAAATTCATTGATCGTCCACTTAGTAAGCACTGAAGCGGCGGACTTGTGAATTCTGTCGATAGACCTCTGATTCTTAGAAAGAGGTCACCAGTTGGTCCTAAAATCTACTCGTTAATGAGGACATGCCATCCAAAACGTAACGAGGAATGTGTCACCTGTGATATATATATATATATCATATACTTTGAAGAAACTCGTTAGTCGTGTTCTGGACTGGTTTGAACTCTACCCTCCGATAGATAATTCACTTATTGCCCTTCTGCTGGCCGTTTCCATCCTCTGACAACTACCAGAGCAGGTGTGGGTAGTATTTGCATCCCACTGTAGGTCTCCCCTTGATTGCGATCTAGTCCCCGGAAGTCGAGAGAAACAGCCGTTGGCTTGAACAGCCATTTGATCGGGTGCTTCTTTTTGATCCCATATGTATGGTGAAGTGCTAGAAGTGGAGATTGTATGAACACTACGACCTACCGCCCACTCGCGGATAGGGGTGCATCATGCTATTTCTTCAGCAGCTGGTAATTTTCAGTAAGTGCAAAACGTACAAGTTGAGTCACAGACAGATCCGAATTATGAGTTCTGCCCAACTCCGTCCCAGAAGATCGCGTTCCATATTATTGGGTATATATGTGTACAATATATATATATATATATATATATTCCGCTTCATTTGGAAAAAAAGATTTATGGTGGATAACAGCTGGGAAGTTTATGGAGTCAGGCTTTATCTCCTACTGCCTTATATAACTTTTAGAGCGTTTAGTCACTATTTTTCTGTTGTTTGATATTCAAAATGCTGTTCAAGAGGTCACCATGTCTCATCAGTGAAAACATAGATGCGAATACAATGAACGTTTGCATCTTTGTGTGACTGACCTTGATACGGTACTCTATTTTGCCGTCGAATAATCACGGAGAGTTTTTAGCAAATCCTCTACGCAATAAATGGATTTTGGCAACCCCTGGACGACCGTAACCCTAGGTCTGTTTATCCACTTAAAGAGTGATTCACACATTAAAACAGATAACAAAAGCGCAAATGTACTGGGAAATTGGTCAGTGGAAATGGTATTTAACTGGTCAAATCCTACTGGCTGTTCTGAGTTCGGCAAAAGCTATGTTGAATTACGTCAAATTACTGAATTGTTGGGTTGTCACATCGCACACACGACACTGCTGTGACGTATTTAGGCTTCCCATTTGCCCATATCCTATCCTTATCCATATATTTCTAAAACACAGATTTCTTTATTCTCATTATCCAGAAATTTTCAGCTGTCTGAAGCACAATAAAATAAATTTTGGTCACCGCTTCGGACCGAAATTTCATAGCTTAGTAATTCGCAATTTAACTTCAATCGGATTTAGAAGACACTGTTGTGCTTCAGGGTAAAGAAAGGGAGCGAGCCTCAACAGCAATCTGTTTCACTTCCGACATTCACATCTTGATTTGCGAACGAAATTTAGATAATATTAATGATAGATGACTCATATAACACTTGTGGTTACGTCCTGTTTGAACTTCAGATTCCTAAAACTAGAGACTTATCACCAGGTAGAACTATTAAATCGTAAACGAGGATTCTATGGATGCCGCAGTACCACGTGAGACTATTCTCTCGATCTCGTAAGCTAATGCCCAGGCAACACGAGATGGCACAACGCTGGTCAAACCACAGATATGAATGTCAAAATACGAGGCTGAACAAGGCCGTCGGCGAAATGATTGAAGTGTATGATCCGACATCTCGGAAAATGAAGCCATAATAGATGGCAGCTTACAACCACCTAACAAGCCGGTTTCGCTGAGCTTGACAGTTGAGTCGCACATGTTTCACCGCCGTGGTGAAACAGACTTGGGTCAGTACACACTGTTCACACAGTGGCCAGGTCACCAGAGTCTTAGGAGTCTCATAGCCGAAATCAACCCTTCATTAGCACAGAACTGGCTTCGGTCAAGTACCAAAGTGCCTGGTTTTACCGTCCTCCGTAAATGTGAAACAGGCTTTTTGACTGGTTCTGTCTGTGGCCAGTGGAGGTAGGTTTCATTGCAGGTTATCCCGTCGCGAAATCGGTTGGCTTGTCACCGCTGTGTGGCTGCCATGAAATGGCTTTCTACACAAAAAAATCTGGCAACCATCAGTTTGCGAAAACTAGGGGAATTTCAAATAGTACCAAATTTATTCATTAAGACACATATAATAGAAATGATTGGAAGTATGTTGCCCAGTCATAAATACAACTGTTCACACTCTAGGAACAGTTTTGTCGGTAGAATACACTCGCTTCCATCTCCATTCATATCCATCTATAACCCATTTCGGTCGGCTTTATGGAAGGTGATCATCATGCTACTGGCCATTTGACAGTAGCTCAGATTGTTAACTGTTGTTACACCGTTAGCGCGCTAGTTTTTTTTTTACTACGGAGGTGCAGTTGAATTATGATTGTTTCAATACCTGCACGCGGATCTTATGGAGTGGCCTTGAATCACTCATATAAAACGATGCAGTTGGATTTATCTGGTTATCATCACCTACAAAGTGAGTCATGTTCATCCCGATCACGTGGTTTGGCTTATCACATCCTTTACTTGAAGTCAAGAGTTCAGCAATTCGTTTTCCCTCCCATAGCGTTTGTGGAGCACTTATGAAAAAAATGAAAAAATGACCGTGAACAGGCACAGTATACCTGATGTTGGCGTTGATCATTTGAGGCTTTCCGAAATATGAATATTTTCTAAGGCATTAAATGCTTTTCAGAGAGCGGCGACCAGTCAGCTCCCGGTCATTTTGGAGGTCTTGTCGCATTTACAGCGTATCACAACATAAACATGGGCTTCCCTCATTTTGAACGATTGTGTTGGGCTATACGTCATAGCAGCTATTTCACTGGCAAATCGCTTCCTGGTTTTCTAAAGGGCCATCTAACTCTGCAGCTAACACATACAAAGTGCAATACCTTCGTTGACCAGAGAAGTGATTAGGTTTCGTTTTTTTATCTCATACAGGGAAATGAAAATTTCTCCAATAGCAAGGACGTTTTTCTGGATAACGCACCTAGAACGGAAACTCGTCAATTTCCTCTTCAGCAGTGCGCTCACATAACCTGTCACGTTCTATAATCACTTTGGTCAACTTGTGCGAACAATGTACCGTAAACTATCACTGGTATAACGCTTATAGAATGGTATCAACCTTAGTTCAAATTTGTCCATAAATATTTCAGACGTGAACAGACGGAGTGATCCACGAAATGGCCCTCATTTTGTCCATATATAAATGATTCCATTGAGTAAATGTATAACATTAAGGGGGTCCTACAAAGTCAAACAGAAAACCAGGCATGACAAAATGGGTTAAGCACGCGTGAATGTTTGCTTTTTGGCGCGTTCCGAGACTCAATAAACTTTAAAAACCAAAAAAACTGTTTAAACTTAGAACACTAAACGATAGGAGAAATTATTCGTTTTCAAAGAAATGAGCGCTGAATCTTGACTCCGTTGACAATCTGTGGATCACCACAAGCACTCACAGTCAGTCACTAAAGTGGATATTGGGTTCCACCACCAACCAAAGACTTAGGTGAAAGGTAGGGATCGGAGACATGCGACTGCTAAAGTTTAGTTTCATTCAAACCCGAATTTCATGGGGTCACAGGTCAGTCCGACAAAAATCAAAAGCATGACTATTCCTGTGTTTCTTTTCAATGTATTTCAACAAACATACAATTCTCTAATCCAATATTCTGAACTTTATCGATTGACATTTTTCTATCGTCGGGTCGTGTTCGAAGACCACTGTTTCCAGGTTCTCTCACGGACAAATATAAATTATAACATTTCTCTGTCCAGATGGAAAACGTTTGCAACAATGTATCTGAACCTTATTCTGGCTGACTGCCCGCGAAAAGTGCCTGGTTATTTTTCGGATTCCAAGACAATCAGATATATCATGGGGATGGAAATAAAAAATATTCATATAATCATTTTTTCACATTTACACCAAAGCCTTCCGTCTGTTCGCAGTTAACACGTAGTTAGTTGACCAGTGGTCAGCTGGACAACTGAGGTTACACGTGACCCAGTACCTTTTCCACAGGACAGTTTCAAGTTCCAAGGCATGCAGGTGCCAGTCCACCGTAGCCTCAGATTCCGGATTGTAAGACACTAATGAGCGATTGATTCCTTTGTCTAAGGTATCACTAATGACAACACCTGCGAGGGACTAGTCGTGTATCGCGATTGTTCAAACGAACCACTTTGGGTAAATTTCGAAAATTGCCAAGTGAAGTCCATACTTCCCGTATCCCACAAACTCTCAGGTGACTCATTTGTTATCTTTGTATTCCAGTTAGGATATGAAATTTTGTGTTCTCGAAAATGTGTCATACTGAGTAGACCTCATCACTACCTACCATTTGTTCAGCAGGGTTACCGTACTTGAGGATTCGAATGTGTTTTAAAGCCAATTTTGTTGAAATAGAAATGATAATTACCGTCTCAAGTAGACCTTCGCAAAATTTGCTTTTGGATGTTTACACCATTGCTACGTACTTTCAGATACCAAATACAAGGTCCTTAAAAATGTGCGACCTTGTTTGGTGTTGTCATTCTTTGATTCTTATAAAATATTGGAATAAATGGACGGCATCTGACCACATTTTAGGTCTTTATTACAAGTTCAAACTTTCCCAGACGGGAGACCTGAAGTTTGAAATAGTGTAAATACCACACCTTATGTGACACTAGTTGTCATCGTTTTTTCAGATCGGAGGAAAAATATTTACTTGGATTCATGATCCATCATTAGTTAGAAATATAGGTACAAACTATTAAAGATACTCGAGAAAAATCAACCATATATTTTTATCATTTCAGCTAGTTTGAGCCAGGTTATCGTCGACATAATAACCGCATATACGACTAAGGATCAGTTAAAGGTCTGGTTAACACGAGTGTCACTTGAACGGCATACTATTTTTAAGATGAACGTTTAACTCCACAAGCAAATTTTGATGCTTAACTAATAAACACAAATAGGCTGTTGAGTTTTCATCAGCCGTATAAGTAGTATAGCATATCGAAGTTATTGTTTCACTGAATGTCACCATAACTGTTTGAAGGCTTTTGTTGCGTGTGATTTTTTCTCACGACTTCCAGAACGCGATAAAGGTTCAAACGGTGTCACTTCGGACCAACGCCCAACTGGTCCAATGGTGTCGTATGCGCATGTGCGCATGCAGTCAGAGAATCATTGATCACAGCTGCACTATGTGGCACCAGCAACAAAGAACATGCGTGTCAACGTGAAATACATGTTGAACGTTACTGACACAATTCCGCTAGAATGTAGCTGACTGAACACGTCATTGTGTGCAATGATACGGCTCGTTCGCGTTGGCTATATCGCAACTTAATCAGTGTGAATTGCCGCAGCTGCGAAAATACACAAACAACCTGCAGCACCTCAAACCAAACAGCGTTCTGATTTTCTGATACGCCGTACTATACAACACTCATCTTTGGCATGATTGTGACATAAATGGAAGGCGAGAGAATCTGCAGAAGCTATGAAAATATGTTAGTTTTCAGCACTCGTTCTTCACGGATGGTAGTAAGTTAGTATTCCTCCCGTAATAGGCAGTTTTATACACTTATTTAGTGCGTCCGATGCGGATAACCTAAGACATACTCTAATGTGAACGCGGGAAACCCGTCCGGTGTTCATAATCATGAACTGAATAAGTTGACGCTCTAAAAAAACCCAACCTATGTTTACTATACAACCTGTGGCACATCGCGATTCTCAGTGGGCTGAAAGCAAACGAATGTCCAGTCAATTACTTGCATCAGTCATTCTGTAGATCCTCTGATTCGGAGCAGAACTTCGTAACAAGTTTTGCCCAGAAACTTTGTTACATGATTTACGTTGATTAGTTGACATCTCAGTGGCCACTAATTAGAGGATCCACCTTTCAGGAGACGACTGTAGTACACTGAAAATCGGTAATGACGTGTTAGTAAGATCTGCGCCACCAAGCAATGCAAACGCTTTGCACTTTACCCCATGGTGGCGGGGAAAATCACATCCTGCCAGGGTGAGCTGTTCGCACCCGGAACATACCAAAAACCGAACGCATCTGATTGGGCGTATGTTTGCTCCATAGCCCAGCAAAGGCGAGAAAAATTTTGCTCGAGGTTGGCACAGTTGCGGGGGACATTGGGTCTCAAACGACTTATTGCTTTTAAGTTGTGAGCTCCAGTAAGAGAGAAACTCGTGCTGCGGCGTCCAAATTCTGTAGATGCACATCATTCGCACTAGCTTGCTACCACTCCATAAGACTGAGTGCTTCTGGGAGAAGACACTCACAAGTGAAACGGTATTAATCGTTATCTGCATCATCACGATTCCGCAAAGGTCAATGGAATTGCTATACACTTCTAGCGATTTCAGCACCAGAATAAATGGTTACTTTCACCAAAATCGGTTCCTTTGTAACAATAACATACGTCAAACAATGTGGCCAATTTTTAACACAAAATGTAGTTACTAGGTTTTGCCGGTCTGTAGACTGTCAGGTACCACAAAGTACACTCGAGTGAACAAGAGTGCAGAAACCCTGTCTCTTTTATGAACGAAGAAGCTTTGTGAGACATTGAAACCATAAATTCCACCCGTATTATTACATTTTGTCTACAGGGCTGGAAAATTTATGAAGAAACAGGTTGGTGTTCTGACAGGGCTGGAAAATTTATGAAGAAACAGGCTGGTGTTCTGTGCTCTTTTGCCACAGCTATACACCACTTATCCGTCAGTTTTGGCGTGCGCCCTGGCCTTCATGTGGATGAAGTCTTCAAACAATGGAGTGACTTGTTTTGGGGGGACATCAACAGTCTTCACTTTCCACACTAATTCCACCTAAGCACTACCATGTTTTATTTTCCTAGTTTCATTGACGGCTAATTGTGCGTATTCGGTGCTTTCATAACATTTATGAATCATTTCGAGATTGGAGTCACCGTTAAGTACAGCAGACTTATGAATCGAACTCAAAGAACTGCACAATATTCTTACGACACTGTAATGTAACGACCAAAGTTGTGCTGTAACATATCAGAGTAGAACGATTTGGGTTTGTACGATTGCTCATAATGAAATGAGTCTTCCACGAGATTGGGCTATCAGAAGTGACCGGAGCGGTGCAAATGCAATCTCCGTGCTCCCCGAGGTGTGGGATGCGCTTATCTACTTACTGTGTCAACTCCACCTTTTATTGCCAAACAGTTAAGATATTCTAAGATGCGATAGACCATCCTCTGAATCTAGGCACGTCACTGGTTAGTCCAGTGCGTGGATTCCCGCCGCTTTTATGCCTCATTGGTTATTATCGACTGAGCTGTATTCAAAGAAGGCTCCGCTCCTTATATGAGCTGTAGCAAGAGTTTACGACAGATACACGAATGCAAAATATGATGAATGCATTCGTGTACACAAACCCCTCTGGAAAGTGCCACCCAATGAGTGGAAAGATTTAGGCATTGGTTTCTTTCTTAGTGGAAGAAAAACCAGGACTTGAGTGTTCCATTTTTCCCCGAAGGGGTCACTTTCTGTGGATATGTTCTTCGGAGGAACTGGTACGCACCTACTCCAACTTTTAGCCACGAAGAAGCAAAACTTGACGAGTTGAAGTGAGCAGGAAATGAATAAGCGGTACAAAATCGTGGCGGACGGAACGACAGCACAGTTTCCGAATTTTTATGGCTTTCTCAAGCGTGAGACAAGCGGTAGGCACTAAGTATGTCAAGCACGGTCGCGGCGTCCAAAGCGATCGAAATGTTAATTCGTCAATGATACACGTGATAGAAGCGGGTGCCTGTACGCAGGCTGATTGGCTGACTGTATTCGGAACTCGCACGTGTGTCCACACAACCATTTGTGTGGTCGTCTGTGCCGATTGGTACAGGTATCGTGTGCGTCTGCATCCTATGCGCCTTCAGGCGGCGTGATTACACGTGAAGTCGTTTTGCATTTGTGTGCAGAGCTGGAACTGATGGAGGTGTCACTTCACTAGATCGTGCTATTCGGATACTGTGGCAGGCTTGAGCTACCGAAAACTCCATCGAGAAAAGTGGCTTTGTAAGTTGTTTGATGCTACGACCCGCCTTTCCCTAGTACCTAGTACTATTGATTCCCTATCAAGCCGTTAAGTACGAGATAATGAGTAATTCCTTTCAACCTTGACTTGCTGCCACCCTCTCTTGCTCTTACTTCAGTGGTACTAGATGTCTTTTATTTCCGGCTCGGTTACCCACCAGCATAATTTGTAGGTAGCATTCACCACCCACCCTCCCGCACACACACATCTGAGTCTGAATCCGGGTCACGCAGGCCTAATTCAAGTATATTTCACATATATTTTCATAAACATGGACAGGCAGTCCATCATTTGCGGATATTATGTCGGTGTTGAGCGACAATAGCATGCTGAACAACTGCTCACACTGATTTCGGAAAATTGGACACACATTATGCAGCCTCCATTTCCCTGGAACTCGAATTCAACTTTTGTTCACGGATGCATTGCCTGTCAGTTTCTCAGTATATATTCTTCATGCTCCTATGGGCTGAGATAAAACCAGACAAAATAACGTGTTCATCCAAGTGTCGTGTGAAACAACAACACAAGTTTCGAACACGCCTTCGCCAAATACAGTTTTTCCAGTTTATTGGGACTTACTTCCAGTTTTACGTACAGTAGACCGTTCATTCCAGAACGTTAGCTGTTTCGGTTTTGGAAACATTTGGTAATGCATATACGATACCAGTTTGTAGAATGCTTGTGGATCCGTGGAGATAGAGAATTTAGCAAATGAGCAGTACCAAGATTGGTGATATTTAAATGGTTATACGGAATTAGTAATGAGCAGTAATGAAAGATCGGCTGGAGGTTGAGGAGGTGAAAAAGCAAGTTCAAAAAGACAAGTACTCGAGTAAAGCATTGAGGAAAAATCCGCCTATCTCACAAGGTTTAGTGCATGGTGAACTCAATTCGTACTGTTGTCCCAGGGTTCGATAACTAAGGCAGTCGCGTTCAATAGAAACGGTGCTTACATTTTGCCTTACAAATCATCGTTCTAATTACTTGCTTCCATATTACTTTACGTGGGAAATTACGGAGAGGTGACCCGGCAAGATCGCGCTCAGTAACCCGGGCTGTGTTGCAGCCCAATCTCTATGCCCTAACGACTTTCATTCGAATATCAATCAAATAATGCGTAACTACTCTGCAAACGCGGCGTTTACTTGGAAAAGTGGAGGGTTACATAAGGCTGTTTGTGGAAACCACCCGTATTCTACATAGTTTTAAGTATCACTCCTAGCCTCCTTATTTGCAACTTATCGAGGTTGTGCCAATCAAGTTTTAAAACCCGCTGTTTTACTTTGTGTGACTCAGCTGTGTTGCCGATACGTGAACCAACTTAGCTACTGCTAATTTCGCCACACACAGATCGATAGACTGACATGACTGAAGGTCCAGCCAGTACCAGGCGCTATTGGCAGGTATTCTAGCAGCACGTACTGACAAACTGCAGATGTTTTTTCACTCCTGGATACAATGCTTTGTAAATCTCCGTTTCTAAGCTTTAATCACTTATCTCTCTCCACAGGATACGCGGTTGTTCTGTCCGTCGCATCCGGTAACTTTTCACGCTACTTAACAAGAAATCAAGCCTCTTTGTGATTCCACATTGACTGGTAAATGCTATTAAGACCGTTTTATTTGCTTAAGCTGTCTAACAATAACTGTCTTTTGGTCATCAGCAGCTTGATGAAAGCCTTATTCTTTCAATCGATAAACGTCAGTTGGAGGCCGTTGCGTGTTTTCGTAGTGCTGATTTTCCGCTTTTATGCGAGGTTGCGTTTAAAACGATCTCCTGAGTTAGAATGAAGCAATACTATGCTGAACTTACACAGTATTTTCTGTCAGGGCGGTGTGTTATTCAGACTGCCCCCAGACTGGTAGGTGTTCATTAAAAGTTGGATTACCGTTGTGGTGTTACTTCAGCAATCACTACCTTATGGTAAGACTTTCGAGGCGAAAGCTTCCGGCAAAGACCATGATACTTGTTATCAGGGCTTGTGTGCTATAGTGATGCTTAAGCCACACGAAATACTGAAACAAATCTACCTCCCAAGATGGTCACCGTGTGGTGGCATCGGTCGGCTTTCACTATTCGCTGCACAGACAGGTCGGATAAGCACAACAATTTTACTGCTGATGCCCCCATCTTTTATCAAGCCATCTCCAGAAGTCCGACTCAACAACCATTATCCGAAGGATGCGAGTCTGGGTCATGTCAGTCACACTCATGACTTTCCGCACGATCCCCTTTCATCTGCCGCAGTTCAGACCTTGTTCTTGCTCTTTTGCCGCAGATTATAATGTGTGGAGCATCGGATAAACATGCCAACAAGCATTTCACATACTTATCGGTAGGCTTGCGGTGTTCTTTTGAAAATGAAACGAAAGATCCTATTGTGAAAATTGCGCTTAAGACACGTTCGCCTTCTGGGCTCTATTGACTTATGGTGCAGCTGATCCTGCGGCTCTCGCGTTGGGTCGAACCTCAGCTCTTGTGATCAGGTCCCCTTACTTGAATAAAGATTCGTAAATAGCTCACTTTATATCCTTCCGCCGTCACCTTTAAGTAAACCTGCGCTATTAGCCTACCTAAACACCAACAAACTGTAACGTTTCTTTTCACGGTGCACAATCTTGTGGAGTTTATTCACGCCCTTGTTCAGCAACACGATTTCACCTAGAGTCATATCGGTCGAAGACTTTAATCTTCAAGAAGCTGAGTTGATCAGGTAGCCACGAGCAGCAGATGGCGAATCTCAGACTTTCACTACCGACTTTCCCGAACTACAAAGTTATGGTCAAGGCTTGCTCTCATTCTGTGTGGATTTTCTCCAAATATCCCCGGCAGACTTATGAAACTAACTCGCCACTTAACAGCAGAAGACCCTTGTGAAACAAAATTGAACAAATTTGAGCTGAATACGTGATGTCTAAGGAATAGCCTCATCATATCTTACCACAAGATAACCATGGTTTGACTTAAGACTGGGAACTGTTAGTGTGGCCTTTCCGAGGGCGCAGACAAAAACTACTGATTTCTGAAAAGAATATCTCGTTTCCTGATTCAAACTCCATCCGCGCCACCAAAATGCTTGGCTAACTCCAGGTGCGCTAGAAAAGAGGGCGGCAGACCTGTGTGTTCTATTTTACTAGGTTATTTAGGAAAAAGAATGCGTTCCGAAAAACTGAGGACCATCCATTTTTTACCTTTGTTTAAAAAGGTACCCAAGGTACACTTCTCACGCGTATAGACGTACGTCTGTCGCAACCAGCCGCAAGCTTGTCCAGCAACATGAAGCATAGCTTCGAAACAGGCAACGCACAGACAGCAAACAACAAAGATTACAAGAGCACGAGGAAGCCTCCAGGTTGTGTGGCGTTACGTGAGTTCTGGTTGGTGAGGCTCAGGTTTTGTGGGCTGTGAACGATTTGTGTGCTGCGTGGGTGCGTTTAGAGATCAATGATTGGGGTCTTCCAGACACGAGGTTCGATTGTCATGCCACGAAAAGTTGGTGTGTAGCAAACCATAGACTCACGTAGTTTACATTACTTTACTGAAAACTGACCACCTACATTTTCTTACTATTTCCATCTCTAGATTCATTCCGGAAACTAGTTAATTATATGCGGACTATTTTAGCTATGAAACATGGCTGTAACACAGGGCACACATTGTGGTTTGTTCAGTGCTTAATTCGCAGATTTGAGAGCATGAAGCCCTTGAATACGTCCTCCAATGGGGATGAGTGTGACTTACGTCTATCGAAATAGCATGCACGTTCATATACGCTGTTGTTTATTATCGCTCTAACCTTTGAGGCTACGAGTAAAATAACTTTGGAGTTCGGTTCAATGAAAGAACATGGCGTAAACATATTGCTGATGAATGATTCCGAATCCACCAGGTTGAAGTATGGGTTGGAGGGTTTTAAGGTTTGAGTCATTTCGCTGAAAGTAAAGGCGCTGAATTCTTTCATGAAAATACATTAAGAAAGAGACTAAGAGGGTCCCTTCACCACAATTTCTTCACTCATGAACTATTTTCTCCTATCTCTGGTCCTTGAAGTCTTATATTCAACGTATTTGTTAGCATACAATGAAACCCTTTGTTTCGGCCGCAGAAAATCTTTAAACTACTCTGTTTTCCAAAACACCGTTCGAAATTTTTATTGGCTGTTGAACAACAAACGACCCTGATTTTTCAGTACAATGTAATAACCGTCTAATTTTTGATTCCGGTCTTATTTCTGATGTATTTTCCGAATCAATGACACATTTTCATAAGGTTCCTGCTGGGTGTGTAAGTAGGTTCTTATGATTAGCACATCAGTAGAATGAACCTGTTGTCTTTAGGATTTTCAACCTCGAAATTTTCGAGCATCGCTTAAAAATACCGACCTATCTTCTTATAATGTACCGTGATTTTGTTAATGTAGCCAGGTAGCCACAAAAATCTATCCCACCCAAATGACCCTGTGTTGCTTTAAGCAAACTCCGATTCCCTCAACTCTGCCGTAGTTATTGTTCTCAAATCATTTGTTTACTTGATTTATCCCGGCGTTTGAATACATTTTCACATCCTAACTTACTACCACATAATATTCCAGGTAAAGTGACCGACTTCGACTGTCAGCAAATAAGATACAAGAGGCAAATATCTATTACACAGCGTAATTATATGGTCACTCAACAACAGGCCTGCATGAGTTATCAGGGAAGGCTTGTTGTCGCACTCTCGAGTGTTACAGCATTAATTATCAGACAACATGGGGCATCAAAAAGTGGTAGTACAAAGCTGCAGCATTAGGGGTTTTGGTTCCATGAGTTATCAGGGAAGGCTTGTTGTCGCTCTCTCGAGTGTTACAGCAGTAGTTATCAGACAACATGGAGCATCAAAAAGTGGTAGTACAAAGCTGCGGCATTAGGGGTTTTGGTTTATCAAAATTTAGAGGATCCACAGGATAGGAAGAGACTTTTGATGCTAAAATGGCTA